GCCTGTTGAGGGGCAATTATATCAAAAGTCCAAAACATCATTGTGTTATTTGTATCGATCCACATATAAACAAAAATCTACTACAGCATTATTTGGAGCTAGTCTCACTTTGTCCCACAGACATTAAAATATTGTAGATTTGTGTACATTGTTTTCTGTAAATGATAAACACATTATGTGCCATTCATTATAATATTCAATTTCATAAATATGGACATGCACATGTATTTTAAGTTCGTTAAGATGGAGTGGGTCACATTTGAGCATTTAAAATTTACTTGAATATGTCGTGTGAAAACTAAAACCTAACTCCAGGCTCCTTACTTCAATTGGGAGTGAAGGCAGCGTTCCAAACCAACCTCCTTAACATGATCCTATTGCTGAGCAACCAATCCTAAGCCGAAGTTTGGAATGAAAGTCTGTGGGTTTTTTAATTTAATCCTTACTGAGAATGCACTTTATAATCAAAACCACCAGCTGGAGCTTGGGTTTCTGTCAATGAGAAAGATGACAAACAGTGCATCCAACTCATTAAGCCAACGGCGTAAGCAAAGGCAAGAATGTTGAGATAAGTCAGATATTAGGGTGGATTAATACAACAATACGTTAATCATCAAAACAAACACTACCTTAAACGATTCACCAAGTAACATACATAATCACCCCCAACCAACTCACTGTACGATTTAAGAACTGATTATATTAATGATGATGTTCTTCTTATTCTTAGATACATTACACAGGGACAGGGCACACACCCACTCCTCGACACTAACTAAACTCTACTCATAAAACCTCTACAACACCAAACACATGTCATCTTCATCACTTATGAATGCATCATACTTCCTCACTTACCTACCACTTTAGTAGGATCCTCAACTAAATAATCCAATGCTAACACTACTACTGACTTACGGGTGACCTATTACCAACACTGTAACTCTGGACAAAGATTTGGACTAATTAGTAACAATATTACATATTTTAAGGAAATTAAAAAGCAGCCAGTCAAACCTCAACCACTTACAACATCTCTAAAATACTATAACACTAACTGCTCCTTACTATATGACATGATCATAATTTACTTTCTTTGTACGGTTAGCAAAAACTTTCACACCAGTCGTTAACCGTCGCGAGCCACAACCGTGTATCCACCAACACCTCAGTCTTACACTGTGATACTTACATACATTAATACATTTTCTATTCAGAAACTTATAAAACTAAACATATGTGGTTTACTCTTGATATTTATAATGAGCTGATATCTCTAACAAAAGCTCTTACTACATAATAACTGAAAACATGTACCACTAATATCACAAATAGTCCTCAGCTTAATACTGCAAAAATGAATGACGAAATGACCGTTACTTCTCCAGCCTTTACTGATTCATCCTCTGGTTAATAGCTGGGCTGCACCCGAACCACACAACATAATGCTGACGATTGGCCTGAGGTTAGGTAAAATTCCTCATGGTAAAAGCAAATCGAAGCACTAGACGTTTGGCAAGAATTACACACAAAATACAACTTAATACACAAACACAAGTCATCACATCTTAACCAACTATGTCTGTCTTTGTTTTATTTGCCACACAAACGATGTGTATTTTGTCCTTTATTTATTGGCGTATAAGTGCTTAACCAAGCATAAATTTAATTTGCCCATTCCTGTGGCCTGTATAGAGGGGCAAATAAATATCTCCGTTATTGTATCGATCACTACTATAAAACATAATATCTACATAACATGCATTTGACTTGCGAGGCTAGTCTCACTTTGTCACCACAGCCAACATTAAATAGTTCTAGATTGTGTACACTATGTTTTCCTGACTAGTTGCATACTACGCCCCACACATTATGTGTCCATTTCATTATAATATTCCAGATTTATCAATAAATAATTGGCATCGCACATAATCTTAAGTCCTCCGATTCAAAAGAGGGGCGGAGGTGCGGCGCGGCACTCTTGGCATTTAAAACACCTTTATACTTGAAGCATACCACAGACCTACGCTTACCTTTCTAGTAAACTAGTTACTCTTCTGAAGTAACTAGTACTTTTAACTAATGCTTGTAACCTGAGTAACTAAATCTTAGCCATTACTTTTTGGAAAGACAGTTAACTAACGTTAACTGTAGAATCAACTCAACCAACGAAATACCTGCCATCTTAACACTACGTTGTCTAATCATTTACTCCGTCATACCTACTTTCGTCTAAATGGAAACATACCAAACTCCAATTAAGCTCACCTTCGGCACGCAGCTCATCTACAGCAACCCTTCCAGAATCAACACTACCTCCACCTCCAGCATACATTCACACCTCTGGTTCACTCCACCACCAAACTAACCAAGACAGAAAGACTTTAGATATATATAGCAACCGACTTTTTACTTAACACACACAGTAAAGTAGTTTGTAATACAAATATATACACACAACTATCATTTGAAGCATACTAGACACTACACACGCTTGCCAGAGCTCACCTTGTAAGCCGTATGCACCGCCACATCCACCTGAAGCGGTGTGAGAGTCTGGACGTGGGCTTGACTGGTACCGCAGGCGATGCTCAGGACTTCCGATCATCGGATCCAGACACCAATTCTCCACTCCTCCGCTCTTTACTTAATTGGGCGGCCACCAGGCGGGTCATATCGTGGTCCGTCGCCAGGTCAATTCTGAAAGTGGGTGGGACGCTTGATAACATACGATGCTTCTTTCACCCTTTTCCCCACACGTTGCACCATTCAACCACTGATGACGACCCTGTTAGACCTCACCAGGGCACCCACGCGAATGGAGTACGCGGGGCTAGCATTCTCTCCAGGTCTCTGCTGAAAGAAATACGACGCCCGCGGCCCAACGCATAAATCCGTCTGCCACAGACTGCGCGCGAAATCCTGAGGCCAGGATGGGACTGCGAGCGCACATCCCATCGTGGTGCCCCGTGTACATGACAAAGCTACGTTGACCATTAACTGGCTGAGAGGACGCCCAGCCGTCCCGAACTACCCAGGAGCCAGAGACGAGTCATCTTCAGCCCCTGTAATGCATACATGATTAAGGGTGATCACTGTTGCCCAGCGCAGTTATTAGTTGAAGACTTCAGAAGGCATGATACACACAGGAAGCGAATCATGAAAATAACACTGACATCACACAAAGACTGCTCTTAAATATTTACAGGGTCCCACATATTAATGTTCTGTGTTTAGCCTACCGCGCCATCTTCCAGCACAAGACAGGACGAAGCAGTTCGCGGGGACACCTCGTCTAACCACTACCGCCATCACAGAACATTCACAATGCAAGTTTTCATCTAAGCAGAGCGTCCAGTTGCATGGTCCTGAACCTGCCCACACAGCGAGAGCTTCGAGCTGAAATCGCCAACTTAGCAATGCATCAAACAATGATAATGCAACTCTTAAAGAAAGAGTTCTTAGCTTCATTCCGATAACACCTGCTAAATTAAAGCGTAAACACCCGTACCGAATCCTGAACAACCACCATCCTTCATAAAATACAGTAACGTTAACCAGTTAACACCAATTCATTCACATGAAATTAAACCAAACATCAAAAAATAAGATACAATTGCTGCAGTATTCCTTAAGCACTAACCTGATTAGAAGTTCAACAGATTCTGTAACTCCATTGACTAATTTTTCTTTAATATAAGACCCCCAAACGTGATCTCAGGCTCGCTTTTGAATGTCAACAAACTGTGTATTGTTTTTATCGATCACCGAGTCCAGCTGTCCTTTGAAGAACAAGTCACGCTTCCAATCTAAGTGGTAACATCAAAATGCAATCTTTACATTATTTTTACATTTCCAGATTAAAGCATCTCTGTTTTAACACATTTTAAATAAGTTGCGCGAAATGCAATGAGAACCATCCCATATCCGACGTACAAGTAATCTTAATTTACTTACTCAATTAACAATAAATGACTAAACTACAAAATCAAAATATTCAAACAAAACATATTCTTTTCACTGCTTAAACGTGTCATAGGCTTTAATAAAGGGAGTGACATTGAGCAACATCCATCGGATTCACGATGATGGAAAAAACATCTCCAACAACCTTCTAACAGGGTTATCAAATATCAACAACAGACCCAGACGTCTGATCCACTCAGCTGTACCGATTCACTCTATGGTACCCCTCAGACTTAAGTTCTACCAACTGCACAGCCCTCCTCACTATGAATTACCGAAAGGGACCACACTTTGTTCTAACCACTAACTTTACTTCCTCCAACTGATTCCATATTGTCATACCATCCACCTTGATAATATTCTCTGTAAAACTGGCAGACTTTTAGGGAACAAACAAACAAACTGTGGCACATACTTCCTCCGGGGTTCCTCCGAGAGTGACGGCCTGGTGAGTCTCGCTCTCTTTACTACAGAACCACTTCCAGGCGTTGGAGGAACTTTTGCATAAAGTTGTCGTCCAATCTCTTCACTTTCGTCTTCACATCTCACATTTTTTTATGACATCTTCGTCTTACAGTCAGACAGCCGATGTGCTCGTTTCTTGGGTGTGGTCCAACACAGCGGCGTGGCTCACCACGCCTGATCAGTGATTCTAGGCGCCTTGTAACTTTGCTTTATGGTCTTCCTTGTGCACCTCCCTTTCGTTCAGAAATGCTGATACTCTCCTCAGTTTCTTTGTCTACATTATACCGTGATATGCAATACTATTCCCTTCTATGATACAACACAAGCATATTTGATGAAGATCAATATACAGTTCACATACTCACTCAGATCCCATGTAGGATTACGTATAAAAGGGGAACCCTTCTCGGCAGATTTTTACCCTAGTCTTGATCACTAGAGGTCCCCGAGTACTGTCCGATAGGCAAAGAACGACCAGAATTGGTTCTAGCAAACCCTGGAGATCCTGCCAGCTAATGGGCCAGAGCCTCCCAGTTAGTAATCAATACACTTCTTTGGGGGCATCTCCTAAAGAGTGCCTTTTGCTCCTCTTAACCAGCACACAAAATGTAAAATCTAAAAATGTCTGCTGCCAACATGATCGGCCCTTACGTGACCAACAACATGCCTTTTCAACTCATACGTTGTGCAGAAACCAGTACAAACACAGTACTGTCGCCTACCCTGTTCTTCCAACCGCCCATCGCTTCACCGAAAGCCCAGAATACATCCGACCACCCGGACGATCAAATGTCCTTTGCGACGAAAAAAAGTTATTTCCCTCCAAAAATGTCCATGTCTTCACACCACTACTCCTCCGGTTTTCACACACTGCAATTCATCTTGTACGTTTTCCCTGCTTTTCCTGCAACAAGCACCACAACTTTCTTCTTCGTCCGCGTTTCTCCCTCCAACACAGCCTGAAATCCCCACGGGACTTCAGCGCTGAGACTGTTCGACGCTAAGAAGTAATGACAGAAGAAAGAGTGGGACGATCCAAGAGGTGTTAAACCAACGGGAAGAAGCCTTGGAGTAACGAATAACGTGTGTTGAACTCTACTGTGGAGGAAATGGTTCGCGTCTTTCCTCTCCACGTGGCGGAGGGATACCTTTCTCCCTTTCCTCCGATCTCCACTCTCTTCTTCTGTGTTACCTGCAACAAGTGTAGCGCTGAAGTCTATGCTGGATGTTCGATTTAATGACAGTATTTGATGCAAACACTGCCCCCACTGGATGCTAGATATAACTGAGTGTGATTTGTTATTATCTATACAGAGTCCTTCCCTGCGCATGCTCAGTGTAAGTTTTGCATACCAATGTACGGTATCCAGTGCTCTGGTTCTAGTTATGTAGCCATCAATAAAAGGCACAGTCATAGCACGTCGTTGTCTGGATATGATTTTGTACAAGCATACAAACAAGACATTTACCATCCAAATCAAACATATTCAATGTTCCCATAACACTTCTATTAATAGTCCGGGCGTTTATTTGCTTAAATCACTGAACCCCCTGCCTTCTTAGGGGACAGGCCTCTATTTGGGACAAATCTCTAACTGTACTGCTTCTTTTGAGTTTTGTTAAGTAAATTTGACAACTTCCAGTAAATTTCAGGTCGTACTTTTTTTTCTCTATGCTAACGCCATGACACTTGAACGTGAATGTCGTTCAGTGAGCAGCTGACTTCACGTGGTAATATTAACAACTCAGATTAATTTTAATGAAAGCCTTTGATTCTTTTGATCAGTGGACCAGGTGGGTTTTAAGATGTTTTATACATTCAGATCATGTCTATAAAATCCAGACCAGGCCTTTATTGGAGACCTG